TACCACACAGCGTCTTGCGAAAATGTTGCTCCTTTTTCAATATCTAATTTCTTGTTGCCTGCTACTTTCAATATTAGTTCCTGGAGCTCTGTTTGTCTATCTTGATTTTCCTTTTGTGTTTGTAATAATTGCTTTTGCCATATTTCTTGTAGCTGTAACTGTTGCTCATTTTGGTGCTTTATTAGTTTTACCAAAATATTTTAAAAATCTTCCATGATAACTCAATTTTCTGTATTTTTACTCCACGTAATTGTTTGTCGCTAATTTGTTGTTGGACGACGAGGGAAGGATTTTTCTTTTGTTGATGCTTTTTCTTAAAAACGTACGAAAAGTTTTTCTTTTCCGCGTGAGTTTCGAATCCTCGTTCGCCAAGTTGTTGTGGATCCCGCGGGAAAAATAGGCATCCAATAAATGACAAACGCAAGTATTTAAGCTAAGAAATTAATGTATTTACACAAAATACAAAAGGTAATGCTGTTAGTAAAATCCAGGAACACGGTTAGTAGCAAATACAGATAGATATATATAGTCTCGAAGTAGGACTTACTTAGAGTCTACGTGCTTGTAACTGACTTCTACAAGAGGTTACTTCACTCCATCCGACTACCGACACTCACAGACGACTCTGGTACGACTCCGGTACGACTCTGGTACGACTCCGGTACGACTCCTCTTCTCTGCCTGACTGGCTATTTTATGGCAGCAGGACGAGTCCATTATATCCGAAAAGGGGTGGACCCCATAACAGGTACCAAATTTCTTTTTCAACTGGGAGCTGATTTGTAGCTATTTAAGAAGTCTGGCTTGCCAGATGAAGAAGGGACTTAGCTTTCACATGTAAATGTAGCTGGCTTGCTGCTGAAAGTCACTAGCAGCTGCTAGGAGAGCAAAATGCTGAAGGGTTTTGACATTCACAGGGATGACACCAATGACAAAAAGTAATAACAACTAAAAACTAAAAGCCAACTATGCTGTGGCCAACAACAAAATGGAAGCTGAACAAAGAAAAAGAAAGAAGAATGAAAACATTGTAAATCAAAACCTTTCACCTCTTTTGTCCAAACAATCAGTCTTGTATATCTTTTTAGTCAGATGCTATATATTTTTCCACAAAGAAGAGGACAATGCTGACAAAAGTTTGAAATAGGAAAATGGCAATTCTATATTGTTATTGTCCTATTTCAAACTTTTCTATTTTTGTTAAAACCATATTCAACTGATATTTATCTGATATTGTGTACATCTATTAAACTGATTTTGTTAATCTCTTGCAGGGCTGGAGGTTAGGAATGCAGATTTGGGTTTTCATTTTATTTCATCGATTTCATTTTTACAAATACGACATGTGTTTCTATACAAGTATGTACAATCAGAAGAAATGTTGGGGTTGATGTCTGGTCGAGGACGACTGGTTTGATACTTTGAGAAGTCGTTGGTTGGTTGGTTGGTCACTTGGAGGATGGCAGGTAGGGCTTCAAGGTCAGGAAAGCTGATCAGTTGCTGGGCAGAGCAAAAAAAAAAAATGACACATATAAAAAAAAAATGAACAGTGGAAAAGAGAACGAGTAGAGAAATTTTCAAATATTTATAGTGTCGGGGGAGCTTCCCCCAGGAAACAATTTGGACAATTAGGAAAATAAGGAGGAGTTAACTCTGACATGCATATTTTTACCCTAATGATACAGTTTTTGATGTTTTGGTATTATGCATGTATATTGTTTAAGATCTCACTTCTCATGCTTCTGGGAATCAGTATTTTATCCATCTTTAGTTCCAAGGAGTCCTTTATTGATTATTCATCTCTGAATTAACAATATCGCTTGAGAGAGTGGCATATCTTTTACTTTATCTGACCAACCAATGAATACCTCTTCTCTGAAGGTCACTATCACAGGATCATCCCTGGATTCTTAATGTTAAATTTCTATTTTCTCAATGTATTGGGCAAATTTGCTGTTCCCTGGGCAGAGTATGATCATAAATTAAGTGTAATGGGTACCTCTCAAGGTAGTGGGTTATATTAAAGGGTTTGTTTATATGGATAGGAAGGAAAATTCGGGCAGTTTTGGCTACGGCGTTCGTGAGTTATTTTCCTGACGCGTTACAAGTGATTTTCTTTCTTTGTGTTGTGAAAGCCACAAATTTGCTTTGAGAACGCTTACTCTTCACTCAAGCTATCAATGTTTTTACTTGGAATGAACACCCACAAAAATAAATTAATTAAAGCAGGGGTCCCCAAATTCTTTTAGACTATTAGCTTCTAAAAGGAATTCTTGGTCTCTCATTGAATCCCAGGTCTCTACAAGAAAATATCGATAATAATTATTTATTTAAGGATTAAAATACTTTGCCTTTTTCATTCATTATTGTTTCTCAATAAGAATTATTTTAGCTTCAATTTCTATTTCTCTTTTCATACTAGTTTAAATAATAATAATAATAGTAAATGGAAAACCTTCATAATGTAGTTAATAATAACAGTAAAGAGAAAACCTTCATAATATAGGTAATAATAAACGCATCAAAATGAATATGCCTTTTTATTGAATTGATTGACATCATTAATGGAAAGGATTATTGAAATTTAATTTGAGAACCATGAGTACAATATTTTACAAGTTCACATTCTAGCCTCTTTTCCAATCCTCACCCCAACTTTTTTCCCTGCTTTCAAATCCGGCTCCCAAAGCCTTGATCCTTATCAGAGATAAGAATATATTTTCTGACAAACGAGAGAGGTGGAGAATATAAAAAGGAATTTGAACACCATTATCCTGTCCATGGTGCCATAAAGTCTGGAGGAAACACTGACAGCTTGTCTGACCCTTGCTTCCAAAGCAGCTCTCAAAATCTTGGTTCTTATCAGAAATAAGAATATATTTTCTAACCAATGAAGGGGCCAGGAAATTTGTATAGCAATTTTGGAGAGAAAAGTCCAATATTTCTGAGCCTCCTAATCTCTATAAATACGGAAAATCTTTGCCTATTTGGCAGTGAGCAATCAACAACCGTCTGTGAAACAACAGGTCGACGATAGAAAAGCAGTAATGTTCGCTGTCAGCTTCAAGCGTGAGATCGCCGACAGAAAGGCAGTCATCTTCAAGAAAGAACTACCTCTATGGGCAGTCAAGAAAGAATGTCGGCACACTACTAAAAACCAATTGAGATCTGCCTCCTCGTACCTAGAAGATATTTGTCGCCAGCCTACGAACTCACTCAACTATGAAATTCATATCTTCAGACAGTTTTCATATCTACAAGAACTCTGAACAAATCTGTGAGTGTTTTAACTTTTAACAACAATCTACTACTCGCTTAAAGAACTTTTTAGGCGCTCAGAAAAATATTTTGAGCAGGCCTTTTCTTTTTTATGAACATTTTTTCTTCCTTTAAAGTTAAAGGGATTTTCTTCTCCCTTTCTTTCTCTTGTAATTGTGTTTATCCCTTTACTCTTTTTTGTGCATGTAAATAAACATTTTCTTCTTTTATTGTTACACACTGAGCAGGATTTTCAGTCTTTCTTTATTCTTCCGCCTAAAAGAGAGAATTGTCTGCTCTAATCTCTCAAGGCCTTGTTGCTGTTTTTATTCAGTTTTGTTGCATTTTTTAACCTCAACCCTTTCATGTGGGAAAGCTGAGACAAATTTCCCACAGGATGTGTCTGATGAGCAGTAGCAAGGGCATTGATTGAGTTTTAGACATGTCACCACAATTTATTGACTTTAGACTGCTAAGCACTTATGAATGCCCCGGATAGTTTCATTGACTTCCAAGGGTTGATATCAACCACTTTAGGGGTCACTGATTTAAAGTTTAATGAGTAAGCAAAAATCCATTATTCGACTAACCCATAAATACCTTTTATTTATTTTGACACAGAGTTGGCATGCTCATATTAAGGCTGACAACTATCTTTTATTGGAAAGGACAGTTCTTTATTTAGCTTTTGACGTCCTTGTCCTTTGTAAAACAATCTCATTGTCAATTATATTGGGTATCTACAAGAATTAAATTAAAAATGATATATATTTGTTTTATGTTTTATTATAACTTGACAGGGTTGGTAACTAACAATTACTCAAATAAATATTATGGATTATTCAGCTACAGTCTTCATGGCTAAGATCACTTTTTTTCACATAACCTGACATTTTGATTGGACATGAACAGTGAACAAAGTAACACTTGACTCAAAACAAAATATTTGTGTTTTTTTTTTTAGCCTAAAAAAAAAGCTTGCTAAGAAGCCTGATCGAATATTTAAGTCTTGATAGCAGATTGGCTAAGATTTACATAAAATTTGATGCAGGCATGTTGCTTGAATTTGTCAGCCATGGTAAAAATCACAAAAAGAAAGCCCTTCATGACAAAGGCGCACATAGTGGCAAATATTGAGTATTTGACTGTTTGCTTGGGTACTGATGCATGTTACTGTTAAGTGGGCATGTATTTCTGTTGAATGATACAATAAGTTTGTATGTACCGAAGACTTCTTAAATATCACTACATATTTGCCACCAAACTCGCTAAAATATGATACAATACATGGTCAGTTTTTGTGGCCGAATCAACACGTTAAACGGCACAACTCTCTAGGACGCATTGTAGTTGAACTCTCAAAAGTACCTAGTTTCCTTTAACTTTACTACAAACATCTTTTTATTCCTCGTAGTGGGATGGGAGAGATTTCTAAAGATCAGACACAAATATATATTTTAAGCGACTCGTCGAAAACAATACAACGAACGAATTCCTGTGCTGTCGTCTTAACCATAAAATAAAAAAGTACCCTTATTTTATTTTTTATTTTTTAAATATTTTTATTTCCGCTCCTGTTTATCTCCCTTTAATTTATAAATGGCGACGGAATTCACGAAAAGTACTTCCGATGTCTTAAATCAGTCATGAGTCGGGAAATAAGAACATTGGTTTTCTTTGATTTGGAAGCTACTAGTTTAATAGAGACAAACTCAAAATATCCTAGGATCATTGAACTGTTTATGTTAGCAGTGGGCCGTGCACAGTTTTTAACACCAGAAAAACCCCGAGTTTTGAATTCTCTTCGGTTAGCCTTCTACCCAAATAAACCAATTTCACTAAACAATTCTCACATTACTGGTAAGAAAACAAATTACTTTTTTGTTTTTAATTTGTTTATTAATAATATTTGCCTTGTTTGTACTTACTTACTTACTTACTTAAGTTGCGTAAATACGCTTTTTAAATTTAATATAAACATTATTTATTTCGTACAAAGCATTGTTTTTTTTAATTAAAAAAAGAAAGTTATGATTTTGAGTTCCCTCGTGGTGTGATTCTTCTTCTTACTGTTTTTATCTTTTTCTTATTGTTTTTTTTTCTCTTTATCATTAAACGCCACATCCATTCCGAACGCAGGTGATTATGGCTCTCCACAGACTCCTTTTCTTTATTTAGCTGTGAATTAAAGGTTTCTTATGAGGAAAGAGTGATTTCCTGTTACGATTTTGAATTCGAAATAGCCATTCTGTTCAAGTGAGTGTACCCTATTATTTAGAGAAAAGAAACTCGTGCTTTTTTCTTTGTTTATTAATGTAAGTAATGTGAACGCAACAGATTAGGTCGGAATTTGAACTCTGTTCGCCTGTTTCACTTATGACAACATTTACAACAATACACACCATTTTATTATTATTATTTTATTTATTTATATTTTTAAGCAGGCGATATATCCGGGAATCCCCCCCCCCCCAAAAAAAAACTCTTAAGTCCGAAAAAGCGTTGCAGATTATATTCCGAAAGTGATTTTTCATAAAAGTTCTAAAAATAAAAACTTTTTTGTTTTGGTCTTGAAGAAAATTTTTTAATTTTTTTTTTTGTGTACCTGTTGAAGTTTCAAAAATATCAAAATTTGAAACAATCGCTACTTTTTTCTTTTTTTTTTAAATCAGGCATATGCGACAGTAATGTTTTTAAATGCTAAAAAGGTGTTTTTTCTTTTTTTTTGTATGAACAAAATAAACACATAACAATTTATGTTCTTAAATTAAAAAACATTGCGAAACATTTTTGATTTTGAATGTTAGTGAAATGAAAACGATTTCTGGCTTTTGGGTGCTGTCAGTACTAAGAGTCTGTCAACTTAGAAAGATGTATTGTTTGATAAATAAATTTATCAGATTTAAAAAAAAGATAATCTCGCATATTACCAAAAGTCTTTGAATTGGTAAAGTAAATTTTTTTGTCTAAGTTAATTTGCCGAAAAAAAATAGCATAACGTGCTACAACATCCTTATTTCACATTCACGACTTTTTTTTTTTTTTTTTTTTTTAGTTAGTTTTCATCACTACTAAAATTAGAAACAGTCTCATGGCCAGAATTCTACAAAATGTTAGTGTCGTGAATTTTTTTCTTGGGGTTGTGAAATTTGAATTGATAGACTTTTTTTTTTAGTAACATTCAAATAAACCCTGAGAATTTTTTTTTTTTTTTTTTTTAAATTAAAAATCCCCTCAAATAGTCACATAGTGGTTCAAATTGATTAATTTCTGCAATACCTCCACTAGGTCGCGTAAAAAAAACAGCGAAAAAAGGCTCCAAATCTAAACTCCATAAAAACAAAGTTTTGTCATCAAACAAAATGTTTTTTTCAGACTAGGAAAGACCAAAAGTATTTTATTTTTGTTTTTTTTGTTTTTTTTTTTACTATTTCTTTTGAAATTTTATTCCTTTCTATCACGTTCGAGATTTTGGTTAAAAAATCTTTTACGACAGCAGCGAACTAGAGAAAAAATGGTTTGTTTTATTTTGCGCTTTTTCCGAGGAAAACGCACATTGATTTGGAAATTGTTGCAAATTCAAATAATTGTAAGATTTTAATGAAACTTTCAGGACTTATTCAGAAATGAATGAAATTATTTTTGGATTTTTTTTTTTTTTTTCATGTGTACATAATTTCATGAAATTGGATTTTTAAGGGGATATTTTTTTTTATTAGTCAGGACTGGAGAAAGTAAAGTAAAAAATCATCAATTTTTATTTTTTTTATTTATTTATTTTTTTTATTTATTTATTTTTTATTTTTTATTTTTATTTTATTTTTTTTTTTTTTTCGATGAATAATGAATTTTTACATGAATTTTTTCAGTTTTTTTTTATATTTTAACTATAGTTCAAAAACATGCAATTTGGTGATATCGTTAGTAAAAAGTAAATTTACGAATCAAAATTTGAAAAGCTCATATGTCTTTTGTACCCGAATATTTTTAAAATAATTTAAAAAATAATTTTTAAACGAAAAAAAAAAACGTGAAAAAACGTTCCTAATTTCTACCTATGAGAATCAATACATGACATAATCCTTGAAAAGGTCACATGAATTGTCGTCTGACGCACTGCAATTATTTCAGTTCACTCTACAGTTCTGTTTCATCATTAACTTAAAGAAGTTAATGATGAAACAGAACTGAATTAAAATCATCATCCCTCCAAAATATCAAAAAAATGTTTTACTCAATTGCTATTTCACTAAATATTTTTATTTTATGTATTTATTTTAGTTTCTGTTTGGGTCATTAACTTAATTTTTGGTTTAAGGCAGTAATAAAAAACCTAGAGACAAAATGCAAATTTCATAAAGCTTCTTAAAAACTTAACTAAAAGTCAACAAAATATTAAATAATTACTGAAAATATGTTTTGTAAAAATTACTAGGTAGTTAAAAACTAAAACAAATGTGTTAGTTTTCGATAGTCATTTTTTTTTGGTCATCCATAAGAGCTATCATCACCTTGAGAGCTTCTCGATAAGTCAAAGATCAAAGGAAAGAGCTCGTTAAGAAATACGTTTTTTTTTTTTGTTTTTTTTATGCTAAGTAATATTTATTTCAAATCAGATTAATTTAACTTTTCTAATTTTACTCAAATAACATCACAAATCTATAATTTTGAAAGAATTTTAAACCCGATAAATTTGTAAACAAATTTGTTAAAACTTAAGAAAATTTTAAAAATCAAGTAATTATTTGAGTCCAATCTATATAATTTCTATCTGAAATACACCAGAATATTTTACGTACTTGAAATAATAAATTTAAATCATTTAGCTTTCAATTAAAACTAAAATGAAATCTTCAAGAATGTTTTTTTGTTTTTTTTTTTTTTTTTTTTTTTTCATTAAAATTTAATTTCAAACTTAGGTGTCGAAAATTCAGTGGAGTTGCCAAAAAAAAAAATCTGTCTGGAGGAGAAAATAGCAATAAATTACCTTTCCAGACCAACACAGAAACAGTCAAATAAACATAAAACGCTATTAATGACATTTACCAGTTTGAATGTCCGAAAGATTTTCTTAGACAATATTCGTCTTCCGAGAGGAATCTAACCTGTATCCTATACAGAACCATCATTTAGACTGACGTGCCTTAACCGATCAAGCCATGGAGGATCATTTGATTAGCAAGGTCGATTTTACTGCTTTTAAGCTACAATTTTCTATGATTTTCTCACGTACATTCATATGTGCTCAAAGCGTATCCAAATGTAAACAAATGACGTCACACATTATGAAATGGACAAAGTCCGACAATTATTTTAAAACATTTTTATAATTACAAATGTCTTAAAATAATTGTCAGACTTTGTCCATTTCATAATATATATATATATATATATATATATGATTTCTATCAATAAGAATATTACTTTAGCCCAATGAACTTCTTTTAGAGGCTGAAATGCATTGCATAGAATTGTTTCCGCTTTGTCATTCAATTGCCTCTGACAGTGTTCATATTCTCATGGAACTGTGTGGTCAAACAAAAGTTTGATGTGTTCTCATGCAATGATTGAGTTATATAGAATATAATACTAAAACTTTAATCTCGTATGTATGTTCATTCCAGAGATCAGCTTACACACTAAATTTAGGAGCATATTGTACCTTGAAACTCTGCCAGCGCTAAATTTCATTAAAATTAGACAAGAGGTTCTTGAGCTAGGGCTGTTTCTCTGTTTTACGTCATTTTTAATGTGAAATTCTGTATTTTGTTTCAGTACACATTCTTATGTCAATCTGCATATATAAATAAATGCTTGCATCTTCAATTCCATCTATGTGAAAAATAATAAACATTCATAATACATTATAACAACATTGTGTATTTCTCAGCAGGAAGACTGCAAGCTGAAGATAGTTTCTATATTTCCCAATAGGAAAACTGCATACTATGTGTGCTGGCCTGGGCAGTCCAGTTTAAGCTTTGCCCATTTTGGCTTCAGATAGCTAACTAACAACTGATCGCTTTTGTCATTGATGTCACTCGGTGGCCATCATGTGCCCTTGTGACTTTGTCTCAATCACCTTTTTGCATCCCTACAAGTCTATCAAGATTTAGATAAATGGTGAAGCTTGGTCTATTGCATTTGGATTTTTGATTTGATTTAATCTTCCCCAGATGCTAACCTTTATGAGAGTGACTCATTGCATCTTCTCATGCTAACATTTTCTGCTAACATGAAGTGGAACAATTATAATTAATCAATTGCTAGGTTTGCTGCTAGGAAAGAAATATAAAGGGGAGACAGGCCACCCCCTTAAGGTAAGGCTTCAAGAACACCAGAAAGCTGTAACATGAGGGGAAGTGGAAAAAATCAGGCATGGCTGGACCACATATGCAGAGAAAAGGGAGATCCACACCCTCTGTGGGATCAGGTTGAGATCATAGACAAGGAACACCATTGGAAAATTAAATAAACTTAAGGAATCAGCACATATGCTAGGCCACAAAAATCTCCTGAACCGACCAAGCATAGAAATGAATACAATATGGGAACCAGTAATAAGGGGTGCCAGAGAAAAGCGATAACAAAAGTTGCAATATGAGCTCTGATAAAAACATGCAATGATAACAGTAAAAAATTGCAATATGAGCACTGGTAAAAATGGTTGCTGAAGACATTAGGTTTATAATACCCAGAAATTCATACACAGATGTCCTCAAGGACACATGGCACAGTGGATAAAGGCGTTGGTTAGATCCAGTGACAGTGAGTTCAATACCCAGTTAAGGCAGTGGAGAACTTTCAGAGGGAAATTAACCGGAGATAACTGACATCCATTGCACATGGAACTAGAACAGTGAGTAAAATAAAGGGTTAAGTTCGACATTCCAACCACCTGAAGAAGGCCGGAGCGTACAACAGCCGAAACATAATAAATATGGCGACAAATACTGAATGTTGGTTTGCTGTGTCATACTAGATAATTTTCTTGCCTTATATATTTATAAATTTATCATTTGTCCATGCATTAAATATTGTTGCTTCTGCTATGTATTTTGAGATTCTTGATAAAATACAAGATGCAATATTACTGATCCTAACCTGTCAGCTCAGATTCAGTCTCTTTCCTACTGCTGTAATGTAGCATTCCTATACATTTTCTCTAAATATTTTCATAGTAATAGTTCTGATGAGCTTTCTTCTTTGGTACAGAGACTTTATGAATTTAAGCACAATTGCTACAAAGTCTCATAATTTTATATTTGAAATGGAAAGATATGACCATAAGTTCTCAGCTAACAGTTTCTTCTCTCATTTGTGGAAATTTCTTCTGACTTCTTGCTTTCCAGTCAACTTTGATCTTCAAAAATGTTAATCGTTATCTTTTTCATCTTAATTCCTGTTCATTTATTGTTCTCTCCCCTTCATTGTTTTTTGTTTTTCTCATATTCTCTCTCACACTCAATAACTCCTTTTGTCTTAATGGCTTTATTCATCAAATTTTTCCTTGTTTGTCATGTTCAAGAAAACATATTTGAAAGAAAGGTAGCTTCCCAAAATATACATTATTTTTACATACACACACACACACACACACACACACACACACACACACACACACACACAAGAAGCCATCTTCACCTCTTCAAATAACATTTATTTTTCCTTTGCTTATTTTCATTTTTTGAAGCTTTATAAGTGGTTGAGTTTATATTTTCTTTGGCCTTAAGATTTGGGCCAGCTCTCTGTGTGTATGGGTGGGGATGATATCTGTATTTTTACTGATTCCAATATGATTCCTACAATGATTAAAATTCATTATTTTCTGGCCCTACAGTTAGTTTAGGAAACTTAATGAACAAAGTACATTTATTGATAGAACCTTCAGTAGAAAAATGAATACAAAAGATGATGAAATAGATATCAATTTTATTTAAAAAATTGGGTAAGAGTTTAAAGAATAAAGAGAACAATTTCTTTATGTAAATCACTTAAGTACCTAGCAACAGTTGACATATTGCTTTACTTTGGTTATCATCAAAAATCTCAAAAAAATTCTAAACTACACTTTTCTGCTAGGCATTGGATACACTTGCCATAATTGGAGTTTGAAAATAATAAACATTTAAAATTTAAATTTTTCACTGTTACATAAAAATGTTTCTAGTTTTCTAATGTATTTGTAAAGGTTCAACTAATGGTTTGCTATTAATAGATGTTTAATAAAAATTAAATATGAATTATGACAGCAACTTAAATAATAAAGGGGTTTTAAATCTCATCTAAGAAATTTAATATTAATGAGTTTTACTGTTTAAAATAAATTTCTCACAATTAAAAAAAATTTAATTTTGAATTAGTGTTTTATTTTTGTTAAAGTGTAACAACACCCCTTCATTTTTAAAAAAATTTTTTATAAAAGATGTATTTTAGCAAACTTCAGAATAAATTTTTAAAAATGTCAAGAAGTTGAAAGCTAAATAATGCTAATATCCAACTTGATCATTTTATAAGGTATGCTATTCAACTGTTACAAAGCATTAAAATAAAAAATAAGATTAAAAATGATTAAAATCTTCATAAGGATAAGAACAATTGAATGTGTGTATTTTTGCATGGGATTTTTTTTTTTTTTTTTTTTTTACAGTTATTAGATTATTAGAAAATGAAATTTTACTAGTTTTATTTTAAAAATATTAAAACAAATCATTAAGTGAAAAAAACTATAGCTTTATTTTGTGTTTCTATTACATAATTTTGATTATAATTATTAAATTAATAATTTATAATATTAAATGGGTGAATTAACAATGTTTAAAAAGAAATTAAAAAGAAAAATTTTATTTGGATCTAAAACAGATTTTGAACTAGTAAGCTTTATGGAAAGTTTGATAACTGAGAATTTTTTTCTTTTTTTTTTTTTTTTTTTTTTTTTAACACAAATAAAAATAAATTTACTTAGGTGTTATGATTATATAGATTTTACTTTTACTGATAGTTTAAAATCAGTAAATAGTTATATCTTTTTATCATTATTTACAGAAACGGAAAATTTAGTTTTAAACAAAAAAAATCCAAAGAATTGATTTTGGAATCTGAAATTGTTAAAAATTCTCCCATGCCGATTCTGATACCCCCAAAAAGTTCTGATATTTCTAATTCTGTGTCCCGTCACTAATACATATTCCCTTCAATCATTGTTCTTTTTATAATTAATATTATTTTCTTTCCTTTTTCTAACTAGGTTTGTACAATGATGCTTTAGAAGACCAAGAAACGTTTGATGCAGAAGCAATTGAGCTAATCAACAAATTTCTTTCTCGACTGAAAAAACCAGTTTGCCTTTTGGCTCATAATGGATGTAAATTTGACTTTGTTTTGCTGCAGACCGAACTTTTTCGGAACGGGATTCGGTTCATGCCAGATCTTCTTTGTGCAGACACACTTCTTGCTTTCCAGTCTCTTGAACAGGCACGATATTTAGAAACCAGATATCAGGCTTCATCGTTATCAAAATGTGCACTGTTTCAACTTCACACACCCACAAAGCGGCCCAGTAACCCTGTTTCTGCTGCTTCGAGTCCAGTTAAGCTATCGAAGTCACTTTCCTTGTCTCACCGTAGAGAATTAGCAACAAGCAGTCGGACAGTTAGAAGAAAACTTTGGCCAAATGACACCATAATTGTGCAAACAACAATTTCTGCAAATGACCCCAAAGAAATTAATGTCAGTACCAGTGTTAAAAGTGCTGCATTGCATAATCATGAAACGAATCAAAACTCAAATTTAAACCAGAAACAAAATGGTCATCATCTTGAAAATGCAACTGAAATCAAATCTTCTCCAAATGCAAGATCGTTTAAATTAGTGGATATCTATAAACGCGAGTTTAATCATGACAAAGTTGACGCCCATTGCGCTGAGAATGATGTCATGATGCTGTTTGACATTGCCTTCAAATGGAATAATGATTTCCTTGATTGGGTTGATAAATATGCAATCAAATTTTCGGATGTTTCGCTTGTATAACTGTTCCTATCAATTGAATATTGTAAATTTTACAAGAATGGAAATCATGTGAACCCAGTGAACAGCTGAGGATCTAGACTCATCCACGGATGTGTTTATACATTCAGAACTGAGTAATGGCAGTATGTATTAGGCAAGTTACAAAAACCAAAAAACAATACTGATACCTTTTCTTTTTAATTTTGACATTATTTCTAGGAGACATGATTAAGTGCATTAATTTTTCATGTCTAATACCAACAAATCCACCTTCAACTTTTTTTTTTTTTTTTTTTTAATGAAAGAAGAAAAAAACAAACACTGCTGGAATGTTTTGTACAAAACTCAAAAATATTTCTAATTTAGTTTTTGCTTGAAAAAAAAGATATCAGAGCTCAAGATGTAAATAACAGAGCAAGATAAAAAAAAATTATAAACTTACTTTTAAAGAAAATAAATTTTATGAAAAGACTATTTTTAATACAAAGAAAACCTATTTTTAACAGACTTGGAGCTTTTTTGCTACTTTCACATTACATTATTTTCATTTTTTCATCATAAAAATATTTTGCAAAACAACATACTTATAAAATCCACAAGAATATCTTGTATATTCGTCACTGATGCTGGAGGTCAGTGTTTGAGTCCAGACAAAAGCAGCAATATTGAATGCTGACTTTCAAGGCAGGCAGGCCCTCACTTGAAAGATCAGTATGACATAATCCTACTGCATCCATTTTTACTTCAAGGTCATATCAAGCTTAAGTTGTTAAAAAAAAAAAAAATTCTCATCGTTAATGTTGCCATCATAACTGAATATATATATATATATATATATATATAACATCACATCTGTACCAAATGAACATTGTTGTTTTTCTCTCTTATTAATATTATGAGTAATATTTTTTTACTGCTGTTTCCTGAATGATTTTCAACTAGAAATGTTTCACCATGTAAGAAAATTCCAAATTAATTTTTTTTTTCTTTGCATTTGCTGACAATTTTAGATATAATTTCATATCTGTTTGCAGAAAGCCACTCAATTTTATAATGGATCCATATGAAAAGTTCAAGTTCATATTGAAAATTTCACAGGAATAAATTAAATTTTGCTAAAAATTCACGTCTCTAACTTTATTCAATTGAATTCTCATTAAGGTTGTTTCTTTCTAAAGATTTTTAATAGATTTTTTTTCCCTATCAGACCAATTATCATATAAATTTATTGTTGGATGGATTTTACATTTTTATCTTTCATTTACAAACTGAAAATCAATTTGCTGCATTTTTTTGCAGGCTTTTATTCAGGACATTTTCCTTTTAATAAATGCCATATTTATATCTGCAAAATTTTCATTTAGAATTTTTATTTGATAAATCTTAGTTACTTTTTTTTATTAAAATATTTTTATCAATTCTTGCTGTTGTATAAAATTTGTACCTTGATCAAGTTGTCATATTTTTGATCTGTGAGAATTGATCAACATCCCTTTGATAAACTGATATAAATGTGACTTATCTTCAATACTTTATCCTCCTTGATCCAACTTGCTAAATTCATGATATTTAGGTTAGTTATAAAGGTGATGGAAAACTTATGTCATATTCACAGAGGAATCCTGATATAAATTTTGTCTTCAGCTATAAATTTCATTTTCTGTCACATAATATTCCTTATGTTTCTTCAAAAATAGAATTCCTTTAAGCATTTTGAGTGGGTCATCAGGGATACTTTCATTATAGCATTGCATTCAGTTTTAGACAAAAATTGTTATTTATTCTAAACCACCAGGTAATAAGAGAAAGCCATATTCAATGTGCTTAAGATTACTTAATAACTATTCAGTCTATCAATGATGCCATTGTTATGATGGTGTGTTTTTTTTTTTTTTTTTTAATTAATATTTACTTCCCTCTTCATCATGGCCAGATATTATAGATGAATATATTAAGAATTTATTGTATTTACAGGGTAAGAATGTTCAATATCAGAAATAGTTTATTTATGGATATAGACATAGGAATCAAAACTGTATGGTGACTGTCAGTTTCATGCTCTAGTGCAATCTTCAAATGTTCTGAAGATCACATTAAGGTGAGAAATTAAATTATGCAGTGTTGTTGCCCCCCCCTATATATATATATATATATATATATAGGAATCAACACTACATGATGACTATCAGGCTTACAGCTCTATGCAGTCTTATATAGCACATAATCTGAAAGTCACTCAGTGTGCGTAGCTGATGGTCATTGTGCAGGTTTGATTTCTATATCTGCAAATGCTCTATTTTATATATATATATATATATATATATATATATATATATATATATATATATATATATATATATATATAATTAGACAAATGGTATTTTTGTTACATAACATGAAAATCTATGGCACCATCTTAACCTGTGAACCCAGTTTATTTCAAACTTTGGACTATTAACAATATAAATGCACCAGTACCTGTCTCTTGACTTGTACCTTCTTTTTTTCTCTTGAAAACTACAATGACAGAAAGTACTCAGAACATTACACACAATTTTGGCAACTTCCTCTAAGTTTTCACTCAGCCTCAAACAAATTATTCAACACCAGGAGATCCCCAGAAAAGGCTTAACAGCCATATTTGTCTGCAGTTGTGTTATAGGATGAATTGAAATTATCTTTATTGTTTTGATTAGTATGTTTTGGCTGATGTGCTCTTCACCTTTTCTAGTATTTGTAAAATATTGTCATAATTTGATGAATCATTCAAACCAGGTATTTTGTTTTTGCTTTAAATTTCATAATAATGATTCATTTGCTCCCTATTATCCAATAAATCAATCCTCTTTTTTTCTACTCCTCATAGTCAATAATTATACTGTTTTTTGTAGATAACAGTAGATTTTGCTTATGAAGAACCTTTCAGGACCACAAATTTTGGTCCTTTTTTAAATCAAAAAGGGCAAAACATACTTGATTAAATTCCTTGCCATTTGGTTCACCTGAGCACCTCTCCGTGTCAGTGATGTTCTATTGGAAGATAATCTTGTGTGTGTATATATATATATATATATATATATATATATATATATATATATATATACATACATACACACACACACAATCTTTTAATATTGTAGTAATAGTGAATTTGTTAATAGAAAATCTTTCCTTTTTTTTCTTTCCACTTTTTTTCCTCAGCGTTGTCTTAAATTTGTTTTAGGCTTTCATTTTATTTTATTACCTTCATTTTTAAAATCCTTACAAGGGAATTTCAACTTGTAAGGTAGAATGATCATTACAATGAGGTAATTTTAAATTCCTGTGTATGTAATTTATATATGCTCTGTTATTATAAATACATTGAGCTCTCTTTGTGGATCAGTTTTAATATTATGTTTGACTTGGATTATATAACAACGGATGTTTACCTGTGTATGTAATGAGATAATGAGGGAAAGTAAATTTAGTTGTTTTACTGCCTCTTGATATGTATACTTTTTTTTATTTTTTGCGTACCTCTAAGAGTCAGATAAATGCCTTTCAGCAATCAAGACTTGGACGCTTTTTTTTTTTTTTTTTTTTTTCTTATTAACTTTATTGGAAGCTGAAATTAGAAGTAAATACAAACTTAAAACTAGTTTAGTCAGAATAAAAGAATAAATAAGATAAATAGAAGCTGGGGAAGAAATATGGCTTGGAAACCATTGGCTGAGCAATGTCTTGATAGATTTAGGGTCTAAATGGGAAATGGATGTAGTAAGAAGTTTGTTGATAGGACTTGTGTTTAAAGTTTACAATAATTAACTTGAAAACAAATAAGGTTACAATAATATTAAATGTGTGAAAACAGTTAACATATGCTAAAAAAAGGTTTCACAGCTTGGAAAAGAAAATGTATACTTAAATTGGTTACATTTAAAGAAATGTTCAAATAATAATGGGATATTAAGACAATCGAACACTTAGAAAGAAAAAATGAAGTTAAGAAATTACAAATTAAACTTGTGGGAAGAATTTGGAGGTTAGAAAAATTTAAAAGCATGTGTTTTAAACTTGTCAGTTATTCTGGGATTTCTTTCTAAGGAAATGGTCAAAACTGTGACTAACCTAAAATATACCTAAAGGGATCAGATGATGGAAAATAAAACAATAAAAGTGCTATACTATGACACAGGGTTCAGTAACCTTTTGCTAACTATGCATCAATGTAGGGTTTTAAAATCATTCAGTGTGCCAACAGCATTCATATCATGGTCAATATGCTTGTTCTACAATATATTTTATATAGTAATATATAGTGTATATATTTTAGTATATATTAAAATTGAAACCACTAAATATCTTCTCTGCCTTGTAGTAGTTATTGGTTTGGACTTTGTGATGTCATTTGCAGCTGTGTGCCAATGGAAATTGCTTGGCATGTCACAGGTTGCCATCCCCTGCTGTAACAAACAACACCTGTGTCATCCTGGATGAACATTGGTAAATCTAATAGACTATGATGTTCATAAAAATCTAAAAATTATATTAAATTATATAACAGTAGGCACACATGCGCGCTTGGTGAAATGATTAATAATCTCATAGAATTTATCTTTTCTTTCATTTTCTTTCCTGTTCATTTTCTGTTGTTCCCTAGTAACCCAAATTGACTTTTCTGGCCCAAAACAGTGTAAATGCATGTTGTGCAGTTCTTTCAACTCTGCATCTCCTCCTCCAAAATACATTGCAGCTACTTCCCTCTCTAAACCTTCTGGTATCCCAGGCAGGTTTTCTTTACCCTGGTGAAAATATCTTCTTTGTTCTATTTTTGAGGACCTGAAATCTACATGTAGTCAAAATTCATCAGTCAGTCCTCCCCAAACCATTCCTCCATTTCTTTCTCTTCTGCTATTTTTTTTTTTTCTCTCTCTCTCTCTCTCTCTCTCTCTCTCTAAGCATTGTACTCCTCAATAACATGCAGCTTAACAAATCCAATTTCTGCATTATTAGTGTTAATAAGTTTGTTGACTTGCATTTTTAAAAGGTTGGTGGACAGTCCTTTTTAATTTAGTATGGTCAGCAAGTTTTCTTCAGTCTTATTTGAAATTATGCAAATGTTAGAATTGGTAACTCTTTTGATTATAATATAATGGCTGTTTAGCAGCATTTCTTTGAGAATAGAATAGGAATGGTTGGCATTTGCTGCTGATTGATTTAACTTACAACAGGTTATATTCTTCAGGGAGACTAAGTTCATCTTTTAATTTTAACATTTTGATAGAAAATGTCAATTTCTCTTATTATTATTATTATATTATAGTATTATTATTATATTATTATATATTTTGCTTGTAAGTTGCAGGAGGACCAAAGTTTAGAAAATCTAAATACCAATTTATCCATATTCTGCCTGCTATAAACACTGTCAAAAAGTACTGCATTTATTGACTCACACAGTAATGTCTTTAACTCCTCCATTCTGTTACCTGAAAATAGCACAGCTCTTTTTCTTTTTAAGAGCTGGGCATTTTTTGTGTAAAGTGAAATATTGGAACACACACACTTTGCATTTTAAAGATCAACTATTTGGGTCATTAGGATTGAGTGCTTGCTTTCCAGGTTGGGTGTATTAGTGATTCTGTTATGGTCTGTAAGGATTATACCCATGACTGGATCTGCTAATTGAATTTTTCGCTTTTGTGAAATTTGTAGAACTCATATCTGTAAAACAAACCTGTTCTATCTTGATCAGTGGCTAATCATGTTAAATAGACAGGACTCAGTTTATTGTAGCATATGAAAATTGCTTTTTAACATTTAGTGACCAATTTCTTCCCACCTTGTATCAAATATATGCATATTACCAAAGTTAGGTTTGCGTCCCATAAATATTTTGAAGGCCATTTTCCAGTTCTTTGACTGTAACAATGGTATCTGATGTATACAGTGGTCATAATAGCATATAACCACAAGAATTATAGTACTTTTGATTCTATTAATGGACATCTTCCTATTTCAAATAGATCACCCAAGATCTTTATGCAGTACCATTTTGATGGTGTGGGTATGGGACCAATTTCTCATGTTTAATAAAATTATTAATTGAAATGGTTTTGAAATTTTCAAAAGTATATTCTGTGTCATTATCACTTTTTAGGTGTTTTACTGAGCGATATCTGCCAAATATTTCTTCGGAGTGAAAAACTTTAACTTTTTTTCTTTTTTTAAAGAAAATAGACCATAATTAAATCAGAGTAGTCATCAACAAAACAAAGTGAATGTTTGAAGCCATTCATAGACTAATCTGGCTGTTTAAATCACAATGAACAAGGTCTAAAATTTTAGTTGCCTGTTCATCAGGTAATTTATTTTTATATTATTTCCTTCCTGCACAATTCTTTGTTCTCTTCTTCACCTTCGTCTTTTCAATGACAATGATCTAAGAGGCAGCATATATCCCCCCCCCTCCCTCCGTGTTTTTCATGTGCTTCAAAGGTCCTTTCTATTCATTGAATAGTTTTATCATATCTGTGAGTTTTACTTTTGCTTCCATTTTGCCAAAATATCTTGTGGTTTAAATAAAGTGAACAAGAAGAGCATGTACTTACCAAGATCAATATAATTATTGAAAAACCAATTACAAAAAAATGAAACTCTGACTACCTGGAGTGTCTGTGTGTGTGTGTGTGTGGGGGGGGTATAACATTTTTTTACCCACAGTGCAATGTGGCCATCTTATTGTAGTTACAGAACAAGGGCCATAACTCTGAGGTTTTGTCAGATCTGGGTGCCCCACTCTTCTAGGAACTGTCTAAATCACAAGTTACAAAATACTGTCATTATTGCTGTTAGGGAGCTGCATTCATAGATGATATTCAGTGTCTTAACAGCAGACACCAGATCAGAAATCACATGGGGGGGGGGACTATAACTGATCAATGTTGAAAAATGATTACCCTTGTAGTGATTAATATTCATGACCAATTTGCATCATGCCTCACTCGTAGCTAGTTTCCTTTTTTTGCAAATGTACTGGAACCGGATCCATACACTGATATACCTCACAATTCTGGCCCACCAACCTCACTGCCTTTTATTTATATAATATATATATATATATATATATATGAAAGGGTCAATTCTTTATACAAAGTATAATGTCTTCATAATACCTTAAAATCTGCCAAATGGACATAAACAGTTTAATCCGGGTGCAGCTTGCATGCTTCAAATTGCTTGTATGCTGTGAAGCAGTCATTAACAAAAGCAGTAAAAGATGCATCTTTGATTCAAACTGTTTCAAAGTTTTCCTTAATTGCTGGAAACACTCCTCTGATCAGTCAAAGGGTAATCACATATTCAAGCCTCTTCACCTGACATAGGTCGCACACCAATTTCACCTTCTCTATCAACTCAGTTATAGACTCAGAGATTGGGAAACAGCTTGAGGTCGAAATTGCCATCTGACCAAAATAGCTTTAGGTTTTGGGAAGGAAAAGAACAAAACTAAAAGTTACAAATCAGAATAGGGGGAATGTGATTTTTTAATGCCAGTAATCTATTTTATGGTGAACCTGTGTTTTTTCTTCTCCTTTACTGGCAAATCTAGTCTCTCTTTCTTCTGTCTACGTTTTTGCATATCTATCTGAACACCAGTCAAAAGTCCAGCTATTGATAGTTATATCAACCATACCATGTGCCCTGTCTACAAAGCAAATGGCCGACAAAGATGTGGTCTTTTTGATCCTGGTAAGTGTATGTCATGTCTCATAGTCGTGTTCATAACAAGGGAGATAACTCCTATTTTTGACTATGCCTTATTCACTTCATATTTAAACATACTGCTTCCATTTTTGCTTCATGTCGCCAAACAAAAAAAACAAAAAACTGTATATCTGCTTCTTCTTATTTAGATTTTATAATAGGAAGGAGGCCTTTTTCTTTTTAAATTTTCAATTCTTAGTTTCCATTGTGTGAATATGAATTTCATTTAATGTTTACATTTTCCCATAATATCTGGTCTTTTGCTTAGTACTTGGTTTTTTAACATTACTGTTGCTAATTTCTCCTCCAAGCCCAACCTGCAAACTTTTGATTCTTTTCCATCAGTATTCTCAATTATTTTTCATTTGACCATTACTGTCATATTTATTTCCAATTTATGCCTTGATAGTGCAATACTACTCGTGTATATGGCTATCTACAATACATAGACATTTTATTATGTTTTTAAATGGCCACTCTGTTGATCAGTATATTTTGTTTTAACAGCCCTCACTTTTCACTGTTGCTTGATGCACGACATTTTTTATTTAACAATCTCCATCCAAAGGACACACTTTCAGATTTCTCCAATTACACCTTTGCTTCTCCTTATCCCTTCCATTTAATACTTTTCTGTTTTGTCTTTTTTTGTTTTTCCTAGCTAGGCATGTAACTAGCTTATTTTTATCATAATCCTATTCAAAATTTTCGACACTTTTGATCCTTTTAGGGAAGCCTTTTTAACAACTTGAAAAATGTTTTTCCTATCTTTGCTTTTACCACCATATTAAATGGCAGTGTGAATCGAATGTTTTTTCTATTTCTTTTTTTCAAATATATTCCTTTTTAATTTCAATAAAGATGTCGGTGTTTAATGACATTCTGTGTTATATTCCTCTAGGAATTGGTTGGATGACATTCATTATTAATATAGTATAATTGATAATTTGGTTTTTTGTAAGGCCTTTTATTAATCTGGTTCCTAGATCCATTTTGACATTTAAATATGGGGATCATAGGCAATAAAATAATTTTATCCTCATGAGCAGAAAGTGGGGGGAAAAACACTTGGGGTTTGGGGATGAATAAATAATCTTTGCTTTAATATTTTTTAACTTTACTGTGTTTCTGCCATATCCAGTAAGATATGGCAGGTGCTCTGGGAGTTTTCTGCAAGTGAAAGGTAATCAAATTTTACCTGTGCATTGGTCATAACATAAAACTTGCATAAAGTCAAAAAGCTCTTTTTTTTTTTTTTTTTTTTTTTTTTTTTTTTCTGATACTTAGAATTTTAAATAGGAGATAAAGTTATTTTTTCTCAACTCAAATGACTTTTTAAAATCTACTTTCCAGTTCTCAACTGCTGGTTGCTGTGCAGAGAGGTACAAAACTTTGGATTTCTTACATGAAGAATTGTCTTATTATTAATTTTTCATTTGGATTTCTTTCATTTTTTTTTTTTTTTTTTTTTTTTTACTTTTTATTGCAACTCTCTTTTCTTTTTTTTTCTTTTTTTTTGTTTACATACACATTTATTCTATGATTATTAAGTAGCATGGATTAAATTTCTAGTCGTGTGGCATAAAAACAAAAAATTTACCCTAAGAAGAGGAAGTATCTCTCTGAAAAACTTTTTGATAATGACAATCAATAGAAACCCCTTTGTTGAATTAGGATAAAACTATTAGTGGGATCGGGTATTTTTTTTTTTTTTTTTTTTTTTTTTTTTAACACATCAGCCGTGTGGGTCATTTTGTGCCAAATAACGTGTTTTGTAGAACAGTCATTGAAGGAAGAACTCAGTTGTGCAAGATTTTTAGTACAATTCTGACATTTGAAAATGTAATGTATTTTTGGAGAACTTTTCCTTTTTATGTTTATGTATTTTGGGGTTAAGTAGTTCTATTTTCAGCCCCTTATAAGTATTGGAAGTAATTTATTTCTTTTAGGTAACCAATTATTTGAGAAGCAAGTACATTTTTGAAAAGCATGGTAAGATTTTGTACATCATATTTTTTTGTTGCGTGTTTTCTTGTATTCTTTGCAGTTCTTTAGAATGTAATTAACAGTGAGCAATTGACTACAGGAGATGCACAAAGGTGCAGTTTCTGCTTTGAGTAATTATGCATGTGTGTAAGATGTGTATGTCCAATTCAGACTCTCCATAGCACTATGTCCTGTCTTTGATCAAGTAATCTATTTGTCAGTCAACTGATGTTTGTACAGTTTGTTGCTTGGAAACCTATCCCAAATTGTTTGCCATTTTCTTTTAATGTATTTATGATCTTATTTTTGTAATCTGTATATGGGATTGTAATGTCTGCAATTTATTATTTTGGTTGCTTCCTTTGCCAGTGCATCAGCTTGTAGCTAACCTTGAAGTTGGTCACTTCAATCCAAGCCTCTCCTTGTCCCACATTGCGTTTGTTTTGATCACAAGGCAGGCAAGGATCGAATTGTCGTCAGATATCACTAGTGTTATTCAGGCATGACAGTGTTATAAGGGAGAAAAAAAGTTGTGTAAATCAACAAAGTTTATATAACTGAGGTTTATAAAGGAACACTTTTTTGTACAAGAATCTATAAGCATGCAGGCTAACAACCATTCCCTTGTCTAATTTTGTGACACTTTGTTCTTCATTTCCATGTCAGAGTTGAGGTTTCAAACTTTGAGTCAGATATTTCTTCAGGCAGCACATCATGGAATGTTGACGAAGCACTCACCTCCTGCTTTCTCTCGCTCTTGTTATATAGAGACTTTCAAGCGAGGTCCTTATTCAAAAAATGACAAACAAAATAAACGAAATATTTTCTTTTGTTTTCAGTATATCCTTCAATGTATCTACTAACGTCTTTACCTTCATGTTCACTTTCAATTTAATTTAAGCTTTTTTTTCTTTCTTGAAATTATCAGTATTCTTACAGTGTCACATTCATCCATTTTTGATATTATTTTTCTTTTGGCAATTTTGTTTTAGGTGAGTGATGTATACTTTAAAATTGAGTTTATTGCCTAATATAACTCCTAGATATTTTGTTTGTGGATGATGGGAAAATTGTGGCTTGAGGTAGTATGTTTTTTAAGGTTTTTTTTTTTTTTTCAGCAATGCATATAGATGTTTTTTGTTTTTGAAAACAGGAAACCATTTTCATTAGTTCATTTTTATATCTTCAGACAGATCTGCATATGTCTTTCAAGGGATGATATATTTGGAGATGAGTGTGTAATTGAGAGATCATTTATATACAGGGACTTTTCAATACTTGTGTTGATGGGTTTTGTGATACTGTCGATTTTGAGAATAAGGTAACAGACAAGATAATTTGAGGTACTCCTGCTTTTCATTTCATACTCTGAAGATTTGGTGTGATAGAAAGTCTTTGATGAATATGGCTGTTCTTCCTTTTATTCCTATCTTGTGGATGTCTTTTGAGATTCCATATTTTCATGTGGTGTCACAGACTTTTTCAAGATCAAAAAAAGATTGCTACCACAGGGTGACCTTGAGCAAAGCCATCACGGTGAAGGATTCAAGCAGTACTAGTTGATCGTTGATATCTTGGTTTTTCCAAAACCCATTTTAATATCTAGATAAGAGAATGTTTCCACATCACTGACACGTTTATCATTCTCTCCATTGTCTTGTACGTGCAGTGAGCAGATATTTTACGGGCAAGGCGTATGTGAATTCTTTGTGTTGGTAAGTCATTTTCTTTTAATCTTTCTCAGTGTGTGTGGGGGGGGGAGGTCTTTCATTTCCAATATATTTTTCTTATTATTTACCCATGTTTTATTTATTGGTGTTTGATTGTTTAATTTCAAGATGTAGTTTTCCCAAGTTTTTCTTTTGGCTATTTTAATTATTGGTTGTGTAGGAATACCTTGAGCCTATTTTTTTTCCTGGTTTTGACTGCTTCTCTGAATTCTACTGTGAACCAGGATTTTTATTTGGTATTTTAAGGAAGGATTTAGATATTGTCT